GTATGGCGCATCATACAATTGCCCTCTCCCAACTCTTCCCGACACAGGAAATCAGCTTTTTGAGATTTAATAACTCAAAGAGATGAGACAACCCCAACATAACAAACAACGTCTTTACAGAGTTTCCTTAAACTTGCCTAACAAAACAAAACAAATCAATCAATTGAATCGTTGAACCACAACGCTCATAATACCCATGGTGACATAATAAGAACGATATTACCCCTCCTGTAACCGGGCTCGCTGGTGACACGATGGAATTAAAAGAGCTCAGAACCTCACTTATATAGAGGTCGGAACATGTCATAAGTATAAATAGATACAAGTATAAATAAATGTAGGAATAAAAACAGGAATACATATGTTAGTGTTTTCAGGGAGATTCAGCGTGTGTGCTGTGGCTCAGCTGGAAAGCAGTTGACTCACGACCGTAGGGTCCCTGGTTCACCGACTCGTCAATACGTCTTTTTTGTTGTTTATAAAAGTTACAGCTAAATGAGATAATGTAGTTAGGGCCCGAGCACGGAGCGCTAGGACCCAACGGCGTCCTAGCACGAAGTGCGAGAAACCTATTGTTATTNCCCGAAGCTTTTTGTGAAGCATCTATCGAGGCTTGTATCGTTTTGGGCCACACGTGGTATCGACAGGCAGCGAGGCTTCGTTTGTCATCGATGACGTCACTGGCCCAAAACGATACAAGCCTCGATAGATGCTTCACAAAAAGCTTCGGGGATTACTCGACACACGCTCCGAAGCCTCGGCGCAATACGTAACATCACTAGTAACAGGCTACCAACTAAATAAACCAACATTTTGACTTACAATATTTAGTCAGAAAGTATTTTATTCATTTAAAATGATTGTATTAAAACATTTATCATGCCAACGACTAGAACTACGGCGACAGCAACGTTACTTAAAATTACGGCAGAACTGATCAGTTATATGTTAGTGTCCAAGTACCAGAGTACCAAGTACTTCCTGTCTGTCTTCCTCTGTTGATTTCTCTGATGTCCAGTGCTGTGCCTTTTAACCTTTTTCCTTAGCAACAGTCTGTTCTCCTTAGCAGTGGCCTGTTGGAAAAAATGTGCAACCTCAAGAATTTCCTAATTGAACAATAAGAATCAAGTATTCAACTAAGCTGTGTGATAATCATAAATAAGAGCCTCACGGAGGATGTTTTATGTCACGCATTACAGTAACACAGACTTACAGTCATTTCTAAATTCTCCTCTAATTCACCTCGACTTCTACCTAACGTCTCTGTAAGAGTCTTCCTGGAATATACTGCAGCATTACTTAATAGTGAATTCATGCAGAAGAGAATAAGGAGGGAGCTATGTTTCTCTTTAAATGACCTCCCACCATCTGTTTCCCTCCTTTCATTGCTCTGGAGACCCTTACACACCCGGGTTTAATCTCCTTCCTTCTAAATTGTTTTGAAGGAAACTCACACAACTTACTCCACACAACTTTACTCACTGTAAGGAGTTGCTGAAACAGTTATCTGGTTCATTAATAATTCATTATTTATTATTGTAATTAATAAATCAGTTTAGCTCAGTAGCTGGGGATGTAGTTCCTGTATATCCCATGCATATTGTATACATCAGCTTATTTAAAAATAGAAAGCACTCTGGATGAAAGCCTCCAACAGTCTTTTCTTGACTGTGAGCAATCTGCTTCTACTCTTCTGCTGCACTACATTTCTCTGTCCTGTCTCCACCAGCTCAGCAGCCACTGACCCCTCCCTCACCTATCCTAACCACTTAATCTGCAGCTGGCTGCAACTGACACCAATTACATCCCTCTGTGACAGACCTATGTAAGGTGTTTCCCTGCCTTCACCACGTGCAAATCAACCAATTTATCAATAAATCAATTAAAATAATGTATTAATCCCAGGGGGAAGTTACGTTTAGTGACAGTTACACCAAATTATAACAAAATTAATTTATATTTGTATTAACATACGTTGGAGTCAAAATGATAAGTCCTTGTAGCGTCTGAGGCACAGGAACGAGGCAGGACGTCCTCATCAGCACAGGGACCCTCTAAAGCAGGGATGTCCACACTTTCTTCCTCGAGGGCCACATACAGAAAATCTAACGAAGAGCTGGGCCCCTCACTAGAGGTATATTGCCTCATAAATTGAGTTATAGGTTAGCAAAATCAATCAATTGTAGGTAAATTATTATTGATAATTGAACATGCTTTAAGAGAAAATACAGCCTACATCTACGAAATATGAAGGGGTATATTTCAAGCTTGTTATGGAAATAAGTTACAGTATTGCGCTTTTTTTATCCACTAAGGTTTGTTAGAAAATGTTTTTAACTTGAATTTATTGAATTTATTTGGAAAGTGGGCTAATTAACACATGATATATAGTTTTAGCAGTGGCGAGCCGTCAGGGCCCTCTAGGCCCTCTGTGAGGGCCTAAGATATTCTAAAAAATAATATTTGAAAACATAAAAAAAAAATATATATTATATATTTTTTAATATTTTGTTGTTAGATTTTTCATTAGTTTTGCCAAAATAACTTGATTTAATTGTATTTAAAATAACATTTCCAAATAAATAAATCCTTCGAATCTGCCTGTTCAGTTTCTGTTGGAATGTGAAGGGTTAAATGCCGTTGTCGGTACCATATGTGTTNCAGAAACTAGAATAAAGTTAAACAAGTACAAACTGTCTGTACTGTCTGTGTCATGGCGAATACAGTCGCTGGTTTATTTATGTCTGTATAGGCCGTTGTTGTGAGTGTGGACCGTCGGAGCATATACTGCGTTAGCTTAGCCAAATCTCCATTTAGAAAACACGCATTTTAAAAAGGTTTTTCGCCTGCCGTCTTGTCTGCAGACTTGTCAAAGCATTAATTCATGGTTTTTACTAACCGGTATCAGTATGTTGTTACTTCGGCATTATTTTGAAACGTGTATTACAATTCAATCACGGTCAAATATGTTCATTTTGTTGTAGTTGTAGCCCCCTTGCCAGCGATTCTCTCTCTAGTTTAGCATACTCAGCCCGACTCTCGATTTTATGGGGCCAGAAAAACTGTGAAATAGTACCCGCTAGCCGGTACTAAGTGGAAACGCAACCAAAAATAGGCCGGGTAAGGCAAGGCACGGTTAAAAGCGAGCTCCGCGCTGTAGGGAAAATGCGCCATGAGAGAGCTAAGCTAAAAGCTAGCAACACATCTTTGATGTTTGCAGCAAGGGCACCACATCACCTCTGTCCTGGAGCAGGACAGCTAAAGTGGGAGGCAAAAGGAGGTTGGAGACATTAAATAAGCACAATGAATTACAGAGTTCCAAAAGTCATGTTACAAGTTGTTGCCTGTGCAGTGGATGTTCGCATTGAGTGTGCTACAGTCCACTTGATTCTATAGGGACTAATGAGAAACAACAAACATTACATTTCCTTCCCTTGTGCCACTTCTCTCTTCCTTCTACGCACTCCCCTTCCTCCCCACCTCTCTGAAACAAAGGGGGAAACCCTGTTCATCTGGCAAACACTACCTCCTTGTGATCCCAGCATATAGCCAGAATAATGTTGTTAGACAATTTGGAAATGGTGGCATTAAACACTGCTATAATGATATAGGTACAACCTTTTAAAAAGAGCAATTCACTTCTTATCTGACATTGGAATCAAAATATTCCAATAAATAAATTACAAAACAATAAATGACTTTTGGGCTCTATTCTGATATCGGTTGGCTTTTAATGTTAGTGGTATTGTTATTTCAACAAACACCTGTGTAAGTGTCCATATAAATATCATACGATAAGTCATTACACGAAAGTGATCAAGGTCAGTCCAAATGTCATATGATAAGTTGATAGTTCATAAACTGTACGATAGTCGATGATCTAAAATGAATAAAGGTCATGTCTCTATATATCGTACGATAAGTATATAATGTATTTATCGTGGCTAATGCCCTTACAGCATGCTTCTCTCCTACTGTACACAAAGAAAAGTGCCAGAAAGGCCTTAAAATAACTATTTGATCCATTGATGTGGATAATGTTACACAGAAATGGTGATGTGCTCGAAAGGGTGAAATTATAATTAGTAATGTTGTTAAATATATTAGATGTAGAGACTATTACCTGTCCACATCCCCGTCGACAGGTATGTGGATTCCAAATAGGCTGTTGACAGTCGGGGTGGCGAGCTGCAGGCTCTCAGGATTGAGGGGCCTTGCCGCTTCCCTTCCAAAGACAACAGGAGACTGTGTGTTGAAAAGACCCTCGAACCTCCCTCGAACCCCACCAGCCCCCTCAACAAGTCCAAATCCAGTTGCTCCGAGGCCCTGCATCCCTAGAGCCCCTTGAGTCCTGCTGTAGGCTACCTGGCCTTGAGGCATACTTGAGCTTGTCACATTTGGCATGGCTGCACTGGAGGCACTGGGCACAGCCAGGGGCACAGTGGTGGGCACACTGGAGCTCGCTGCGATGCCAGGCACGTTTTGTACACCGGAGGAGACGGGGTGGAGGCCGTGGGGTTGAGGCTGTCCGGCGGCTGTGTACTGACTCACAGCTTGCTGCTGCAGAGTGGATCCACTGACCAGTAAAACGCCTCCAATTCCCCCGGTCTGCTGCTGCAAGAGGCCTGGCTGTCCGCTCGCTATAGACCCCCCTCCTGTTACATCTCCCACCTGACTTGGCACAGAAGCCCCCGCGGAGGATGCAGGTAGGACCGAGCCTTGTCCCATGGGCTGTGGCCCACCAGAGAGGCTGGACACTGGGACGGGATGGCCAGTCAGAGGCCCTGGCTGCATGGAAGGGGGCTGTTGCTGCTGATAGAACTCTGTCGGGTTCTGCGGCAGTCCAGAAGACTGGCCGGTCAGGTGGTGGCCCATGGGAAGCTGCTGTTGCTGCTGCTGGGCAGGGTAAACGACGGGATGGGCTGAAGGAGGCATCCCGTCGTTGTAGTTTTGATGTTGGATTTGTTGTTGTTGCTGCTGCTGCTGCTGCTGCTGCTGCTGCTGCTGTGGTGGCGTCTCCACTGAATGCATGCGGGATGAGAGAGAAGCGTCCGCCACCGAGCCCAAACCCTGACCTGAGTGCGATGCGGGGGGAACCACAGATCCTCCTGTATGCCCGAGCCCACTGTCTCTGTCAGCAGCAGGGTCCAGTGTTGTTGCACTGTTGTTGACATGCCTAATGCTATCTGCAGTCCTACTAACAGCAGAGCTCTCGGAGTCCTTCTCATAAAACTCTGTACATGTCCACCTGCCTCTTCTGAAAGGTTCTCCAGTACCATGATCGAGTTTAATGACCCTAAAGCGAGAAGTGCAGCTCACGGTGGAGGTGGCAGGAGGAGGAGCTGGACTGGTCACTGCAGCAGGTTGGGATGTGTTTACGGACACGGTGGCTGCCGGGGCAGGCTGTTGCTGCAAGGCCCCTGGCTGAGGGATGGGGGCTCCACCAGCTGCAGCACCGATCCCCGCGGGCTGCTGACCACCTTGAGTGGAGGCCGACACTCTCCCCTTTCGAAACTCCCCCGCTGCATTGCCTGACAGCGCAGGCAACTGACCGGCTTGAGGTATGTGTGATGGCGCAATAACACTGATTGCCTCTGGCTCTCCGACATTGTTCAAGGCTTCTTCAGATGAGCTCCTGTCACAAACAGGTTCGTACTCAGCCCGTGACATGTCGTAAATCTCTGACGACACATCTTCCGTCCGGGACTCGTCCGGGTCGTCCAGACTCTCCGTGTCGTCCGCGGCACCTATAGCCGCAACCTGGGCCTGAGTCACACTGGTGATCTGAAAGCAGCTCTTCTTCTTGGCCGGCATGTTCGACATATTGACAGGCTGATTCCAAGTGCCGTGTGAATCCTTCGTGAAAAAGGGACGAGCTGGTTGCAGCTTCTTAAAGCTTAGATCATATTCCACAGCAAACTTGCATGTGTAATACTTAGCCTAGCTAACTGTAATCAAAATGAATTTACGCCATCCCTCTTCCTCTCTCGATCTCCTGTTGCGTTTCATGGGCTCATAACGCTTATCGTGTCGGGTTGTCAGGCAATGCGTCTTTAGACAGTGATACCAGCCGCCTGTTGGAGGATTGCTCCTCAGCTCCCTGTCGGTCCTGACCGGCCTGCTAATGTCCCGGTGGTCCCGTTGTGAGACGGCCGTTGTCGCAGAGTGTGTTGCCCAGCTGTAGGACCTACTTTAGGCTGAGGAGGGCCCGCAGCCCTCCACTCACTGAGCTAGCTAGCAAGTCAAGCAAGTGGCTGCTGCACACTCCCCCTACGTCGGAACAAGTCTGTGAGACATCTTCCCGAAAGCAGTCCTTTGAGTCCACTCACCTCACGAGCTTCAGGTCATTCAGTGGCGACACTTACTGTGAAGCTGGCGGCGTTAGAGAGAAGAAACCGTCCTCCAGTTTCACGCTTTAAAACAAACGAGAGTCTAAACAGCGCCTACAGTTACCTCCCTCACGTAGTCACTGACAAGATGGCTATGTTGTAGGCAGCCGCGCTGCATCGTGGGTACGTAGTGTACGTAAGGATGTTGACGTACGAGGCGTTTGAGAATCCCCTCCTCATGCTGCCTTCATGAACCGTCCGAAATACTAACTGAGGGCAATTGAGAAAGTGACATTTTCTAAGTTAGAGGATGCACGTTTTTATCCCATCAAACCCCTATGTAGTCTTTACTCATATTGACAGGCCCACAGCAACAGTTCGCACCAACAATTATGAATCAGAATTCCAAATTCCTTTATTTTCCACAGCGGGGACATTCACATCATAACTGATTATATATTTTAAGAAAAAGGCCAAATTAGTTTAAGTATTTGCAGTTTTTTTCATTCTAAAATTAAAAAAAGAAGAAGAAGTTGTCAAATTGTCTGATAATAATCATTTCAATCTTATTGACTCGAAATGATATCTTAAATATGCAGAACCATAGACTGATATGAAGGTCTCAAATTCTGAGTCACTGTATACCGAGTCACGAGTCTTCCCAAACCATAGAGAACACTGTCCCCTGTGGCCAAGGAGGGAATGTGTTACTTTGAAAGGGTCTCGTGCTTCTTTATCCTTTTTTGGTGATTATTGATTAACCTTGAAGTGTCAACCATCTAAGCTGGTTTATATCATTTATTGTTATTTTTATTACAGCATTTGGATAGTAAATCCAAACACTGTACTGTCTACAATGTTCTTCAAAATGCACATTAGTAAAGAGACAAAATAAGTGACACAACAAGGTGGTGAAAAAGTATTATAAGAAATAGCACCATGAATTTTACTCATGGATATTTACTCATGTCATATAATCCAATCCCATATGCTGACTTTGATGCTTTCATTCTTTCTGCAAAATACATTGTTTGCAGCCTCTGCTTTATTGATGATCTTTTTTTAACATCTATTTACATATCAGAATCAGAATATCTTTATTCATTCCACATGGGGGCACATTTGCATTTGTTACAGCAAAAAAAGGGCCAAAGACAGCTTAATATTAACTAAGAAGCATGCATAAAAAATATTAAAGATAACAACATTAAACAATTTACAAAATACACATCCTGTAACAGTTCTGAGAGATATAGTAGCAGGCACAGTATGTATTGTTGCACAGCTAAATGGCATATATATATAGCACATATTGCACATCATTGGTATTGCATGGGGTGTTATAGTCTTTGTTGTTATATGTGTAGGGGTCTACCAGGGGCCGTGCTCGTTGCAGCAGCATGTCGCTGAAGGAGCTGCACAGTGTAGACAGGGTGTCCTGGAGGGGGGGAGACACATTGTCCAGCAGGGAGGACAGCTTGGCAGCCATTCTCCTGTCTCCCACCCCCTCCACAGTGTCCAGAGGACTCCTGTCTCCCACCACCACCACCACCACAGTGAGGACTCCTGTCTCCCACCACCTCCACAGTGTCCAGAGGACTCCTGTCTGCCACCACCTCCACAGTGTCCAGAGGACTCCTGTCTCCCACCACCACCACCACCACAGTGAGGACTCCTGTCTCCCACCACCTCCACAGTGTCCAGAGGACTCCCCAGGACAGAGCCGGCCTTCCTTACCAGTCTGTTCAGTCTCTTCCTGTCAGCAGCCGAGATGCTGCTGCCTCAGGAGGCCACACCATAGAAAATGGCGGATGCTACAACAGTCAGAAAAAGTCTGAAGGAGTGCCCCCTGCACCCCGAAAGACCTCAGTCTCCTCAGCAGAAAGAGTCTGCTCTGTCCCTTCTGGTACCGAGCAGCAGAGTTGACCAGCCCAGTTAGAAGCTGGTTGGTAGGGCTGCTTGTGGTATTATTGAGCCACTTCACACACATATGTAGCGGGATGAATCAATGGGAACTTTGTGTTGGTGTAGGAAGCAATTCATAATAAAAGGTAACCGGGTGTTATTGTGCTGTGTTTACTTCCTTATTTGGGGCACTACAGAGCCGAGTGCTGTTGTTTTTTGAAAATGATATCGATAGGGGGAAAAAAGTGTGATCAAATATGTGCTTTAAAAAAGTTGAGAAAATGTGGCATCTCTTTTTGGACCAAGCCGAATCTAAAGTTTCTAAATATCCAGTTATTTAAAAGTTTTTCATTCTTGTTGCTCTTGTTTTTTATAACACAACATTTTTTTTGTTGCATTGAACTTATCCGTAAACCTCAAAACAAAGAACACCATTAAGAAATATAAAATAAATCAACTATTTTAGTTATCTCATGACCTTATGGTATCTCAAAAGTGTTAAACATTAAGCCTTTAACACAAACTGTGAATGCACTTTAAATGAAGGGGACTGAAAATACATATAAAGCATTTCATGACACAGAAGAACATATTATTTGATGTCTCTTATCCAGAGGTGGGAGGATTACTCAGATCTTGTACTTAAGTAAGATAAGATAAGATGGTTCTTTATTTATCCCTGTGGGGAAATTCAGGAGTTAACAGGTTTGTCCACAAAAATTAAAAATAAAATGATACACATAGTAACTGTTAAGATACATGTTTAGGTTCGGATAGTTAGATATATTATTGACATGTAAGTGTGCAGATGCCAGTGCAGGTCAAAGTCATTTGTAGCTACTAACAGTGCAGATTTTATGTATGTAGTATGTACAGTAGGGGTTACTTTTAATGGGTTACGGTTAGCCCTTGATCGTGCAGCCTGATGGCTGTGAAAGTACCAGAGTGTAGGAATATTATGTTACAAGTAAAAGTCCTGCATTCAAAATGTTACGCCCAGATCTAGGGGAACGTATGGCGCATCATACAATTGCCCTCTCCCAACTCTTCCCGACACAGGAAATCAGCTTTTTGAGATTTAATAACTCAAAGAGATGAGACAACCCCAACATAACAAACAACGTCTTTACAGAGTTTCCTTAAATGCCTACCATAAAACAAAACATCAATCTATTGATCGTTGAACCACAACGCTCATAATACCAATGGCTGACACTCAATAAGAACGATATTACCCTCCTGGAACCGCTCGTGGTGAACGATGCGAATTAAAAAGCTCAGACCGTCACTTTTATACGAGGTCGGAACATGTCCTAGTATAAAATAGTAGCAAGCATAAATAATGTAGGACTAAACATGGAATGATAATACAGGAATAAATATGTATAGTGTTTTCAGGGTTCAGCGTGTTGCTGTGGCTCAGCGGAAAGCAGCTTGACTCCGCCCGGTTAGCGGGGTCCTGTTTCCAACCCCGGACTTCCGTTCAATAGTCTTTTTTGTTGTTTATAAAAGTTACGGTGTAAATGCGATAATGTAGTTAGGGCCGAGCACGGAGCGCTAGATCCCAACGGCCGTCCTAGCCCGCATGCGAGACCTATTGTGTATTGGGGACATTCTTTTTTTTTCTGTGGCGCTTCCATACTTGTAGGAGCTTCAAAAGTTGGTATAATTTGGCGACGGATTTCCAGGAATCGTGTGGAAACTACATGTTCTGGACTCAATGGTTTCAAATTGTCCAGCATGCGTCTAGCGCACCTATGGCCATTTCCATTTTTTGAAAGATTACAAAGTCGCACCGTAACCCGAGATGACCTGAATTGATGCCCCACTTATTCGGGTGGAGCCTGTTTAATTAATAATCTCCTTGAACCTAATCTCCGCCTACTTTTTTTCTTTAATTAGCATATATCAAAAACGATTAACAATATTCACTAAATATAAAAAGAAATAAAATGTCACACCAAAATCAGTTATCAGTATCGCCTGGAGCGTCAGAACCATCATCGTAGGAAATGGCATGTTCAGTGAGATGTCGGTCGTCATTACTTCTAAACGTGTTCGCAGAAAAGCGCTGCGGGCGTAGATAGAAATGCTCATAACTCAGTCACAATGTACCAAAAAAACACACAGTTTTGGTGGTAAGTTCAGTTTTATTGAGGGAATGCAACAAGTAATTTTCATTCTTTGAACTATAGGTGGCCAAAAACATGACAAATGTATAACTCATGAACTGATTGACGAAAATATATATATATTTTTTTTAGACATAGCCTACTCTGGGGATGAGTTATGAACTATATTTAAAAGTGCACAACGAATGACAATTTGTGGGCGTGGCCCGCTTTTTTTTATGACGATTGCTGTAAAAATGCGTTNTTTAGTATTGCAAGTGTTAGCCAAGTATTGTTCTGTGCAGTGTGTCACTTACACATCACTCATTTGTCACACATAAACCTCACCTGAGGATCAGTCAGAGTCTGACTGATCCTCAGGTGAGGTTTATGTGTGACAAATGAGTGATGTGTAAGTGACACACTGCACAGAACAATACTTGGCTAACACTTGCAATACTAAAATTGATGGACTTTAAAGGTGACCTATCATGCAAAATGCACTTTTGTACGTCTTTTATACATGAATATGTGTCCCCGGTGTTCTAGGGAACTCACCAAGTGTCAGAAAACACAACCCTCTATTTTCCTCCATACCCAAATCTCTTAAAAAGGGGCTGCAACGGATCTGATACAGACTGATCCAGATTTGAAAACTTCTGTGACGTCACAGAAGTGGTGCTACGGCTATTGGGCCAACTCCACCAATCAGGAGGAGACAGCCACGGACATTGCCGTTCGAAAGCGCTGGAGACGCTGTAGTACATATGCCAGGCCTGTAGATGGTGCTATTCTCACAGAATCATTCCATGCAAAGACAGTGTTAAATTGAGCGAAATGAGGTATGGCTAAAATGCATGATCTGTTTGATATTTTGAAAAATAAAAAGTATAAATATGCCTTATATAGGTATGGTCCTACACTATATTATTCAAATATGGCATGATAGGTCCACTTTAACTTAGGTTTGGTGTACCTCAGGGGTTGGTTTTGGTACCAATTATATTTTCTTTATACAAGCTTTCCCCTTTGGCACACTATTTATAAATATGGTGTTTTTATTTTATTTGATGCTGATTATGCAGATGGGCCTGCCCTGAGATTCACAAACCATGGAATGTTTTATTTAACGAATGACTGTCCTTGTGAT